CTCAGCTCCCCTCTGGAACGGCTCTGGGAGGTAGGGTTACAGGTTTGCATCACCACTCCCAGCTTTTATAAGCCTACTGGGGATCTGAACTCAGGACCTTGTGCTTCTGTGTCAGGTACTTTACTTAGCAAGTCATCCCCTTGGCCCTCATTCTTCGTTGCTCCACAATCACCCTGGTTCTGTGTCACTGCTCTAGGATTCTTTCCCCATTGCATCAGAGACCTTCATGTTGGCATATCTTTTTGTCTTCTCTCCCTTAGGCCAGAAGCTTTTCTGTATGCACTCCAAAGCACAAGCAATATTGCTGGGGATGTCTTTCTGTATGCTGTGAATGTGTTGCTCTGATTGATTGATTGATAAATAAAATGCTGATTGACCAGTAGCCAGGCAGGAAGTATAGTATAGGTGGGATAAGCAGAGAGGAGAATTCTGGGAAGTAGAAGGCTGAGAGAGGAGACATTGCCAGCTGCCGCCATGAGAAGCAAGATGTAAAGATACCGGTAAGCTGGTATAGATTTATAGAAATGGGTTAATATAAGATGTAAGATCTAGCTAGCAAGAAGCCTGAGCCATTAGGCCATACAGTTTTAATTAATATAAGCCTCTGTGTGTTTACTTGGGTCTGAGTGGCTGCGGGCCTGAGCGGGACTGGAGAAAACCCCAACTACACAATATGAGCTCCCTGTGTCTAACCCCACAAAGACTTAGGCATATCAGAGAAGACTCTGAACACTGATCACGGCGATGAAGATTTGGTGTTGGACAACACGGCTCTGAGAGTCCAGTCACTGTCCCCTTTCACAGGGAACAATGCAATGCCTTTCCTGCCTCAAGCCAACAGGAAATATATCTGTGGCTTACATGCTTCTTCTCGATCAGGGCCTTCTTCTTTTGGCCCTCCCACTCTCTGTCCAAGATATTAGTGCCAGTCTCACAGTTCTTGATGAAGAAAGTAACAATTCAGCAATCATATATTCAGGAATACCCATATCAGCTTGTTCTTTCTCTTCTGTTTCAATATTCTTTCTGCTTCACTGTATTTTTGCCTTAATACATAAGCAGACTGCATTGTTCACGCTTTAAAAAATAAGAAATGAGAAAATATCAGCCTGATGCTATATCACTACAAAGCTGCCTGTCTACCATACACCTTTTACAGCCAACCATGATGATCCAGCTGCATTCTTATCATATTTGCTGGCTTCCCCCATTCTTTTTGAAAGTCTTGAATCTATGTCATTCAGTCTTTGGGTCTCTAATTCACTGCCTCAGCTCTTGCCAAAGTAACCATTGAATTCTATAGGGTCAAATCTTAATTTTGTTTTGCTGGCCCATCTGTAGCCCTGGGGACCGTGACACTTTCTTTGAAAAGCTCACTTTCCTGGCTCTGAGTCACCAAGAAACCTCTTTGGTTTTGCTTCCTGTGGTGGTTTGAGTAGGTATTGCCCCATAGACTCATGCTTTAGATGCTTGGCCCATAGGGAATGGCACTATTAGGAGGTGTGGCCTCTTTGGAGTGGGTGTGGCTTCACTGGAGTAGGTGTGGCCTTGTTTGAGGAATTGTGTCACTGTGGGGGTGGGCTTTAAGGTCTTCTATGCTCCAGCTAGGCCTAGTGTGGCAATCTCTTTCTGTTGTCTGTGGTAGAACTCTCAGTTCCTTTTCCAGCACCACGTCTGTCTACACACCACCATGTCCTGCCATGATGGTAATGGACTAAACCTCTGAAACTGTAAGCCAGCCCCAATGAAATGTTTTCTTTTATAATAGCTGTTGTGATCATGGTGTATCTTTACAGCAATAAAACCCTAACTAAGCCTGGCCTGGTGTCTAGTGGCACACGCCTTTAATCTCAACACTTGGGAGGCAGAGGCAATAGGCTCTCTGAGTTTGAAGCAAGTTCCAGGACAGCCAGGGCTACACAAAGAAACTTGAAAAACCAGAACAAACAAACAACAACAACAACAACAACAAACAAACAAGCCCTAAGACACTCCCCTTTCTAGTAGCTTCTTCCCCCTTGTCCCTTCTCCTGATTCTTAAAACCCCAGAGTGTCAGCACTCCCCTAGCAACCTGCTTTTCTACCAGTATTCATTCCCTAAGTAATTTCACCCTCCTTTGTGGTTGTAGATAACATTCAGATGCCAATGTAACCTGAGCTTATGTCTCTACCTAGTCAAAGAAATGCCTTTTAAGGAAATCAAGCTAACATTTGTCAACATCAACTTCTGATAGACTCTAAGCCCGCTCTTTCCCTAGCCTGATAACTCCCCAACTCCTTAGAACAACTTGATTAGTTTTGCAGAAATATCCTACCTTTTTGTTTGGGTGTTGGAACTCTATATTATATTTGAGAATTTGGAGGCTGAGAAGAATTAATTAATTTTAACATCCTTGATTTGTAAGTATTACAGTTAGAACTTACAGGATTGAAGTTCAAGGGGATCCAAGAAGAAATAATTTTTTTAAGAGTAATTCAAATATACTTAGATCACAAAGCATTTGAGGTAAATAAAGTAAATGTTTTTAAACAGTGATTGGATAAGGTCTAAATGAAAGCTCAAAATTTAGATAATAAAAGAGGTTACAATAATATATTTCACAATTTTGAAGTGTCAGTAAATGTTCCTAATGGCTAGAGGTCCTCTTTAGGCATGGCCAGATTGAGAGTCTGACTTGACCCCAAACTCGGGGTAAATTATCCTCTCAGGTATGAGCTCAGTTATTAATTTTTTAAAAGGCAGTCACTGTATAAGCTGGGTATATAACTCAGAGGAAGGATACCTACTTAGCATGCACAAGATCTGACATTTGATGCTCAGCACTGAAGAAGAAAAAAAAGAACAGCAATTATTGTAATCTCCCACATAAAACATTGCCAAACATTTGTTGTTGAAGTTTATTATATGTCTGCAAAAAGCTGGAACTATTTGGCATTGCCAAGTAAAAACACGTTTTTTAATTTGTTCGTTAAGCAGCTGCTTCTGAATAATAGTTTATTTGAGGTGATTAATCACTTGAGACCAGCCTGCAGACACAGGGCACTGCATTATAAATCACATCTTATTTTCATTCATAGGGAATAGAGTGATATTCATTTTTTGGACATGATTTATCATTTGCAGGTTGTATCTGCTATCTCTGTGGGCTGGGAAAATGGATGGCTCATCTTATTAAAAAGTCTTCAACTTTTGCTATAATATTTTCTGCATATCCAGAAGAAAACCATGATCAAGACCATTGGTTCCAGTATTAAGGTGTACTGGATGGAAAGAGTGTTGTAAATGGTTTCTTCACTATCAGATAAGTGAAACGTGGGCCAGCATCTAGACTTTCCAAACCATTTCGTGTGGGCATCTTTTGAACTGTTATTTGTTTAAGGAGACCTACTTAGTATTTATAGATACTCTGTCTTCTTTAAGAAATATGGGAAGCACTACTGGTGTCATGCCTTGGGATGACTTCCTTTCCCTTTGGTTATTATTCCTCCTAGCTCTTGGCAACATGTAATCTCAAAGTGAAAGTAGTGGGTGCAATTTCATAAAATTTCATTTACCAAGTGATATTTTCCTCTGTCCCTACCCTGTCAATGTAAAATTTAGCCAGTAGGGCCATTGTCATTAAGAGTGATATCAGTAGACAATCTGGTGATGTTGGTAAGGTACTTACTGTAATAATAGCATTACTCACATAAAGCAAGAAGAAAAGTTAATAAGAACCAATACTCTCATATCCCTGTTAACTCTCTTGACTAGAGAGACAGGAAACTATGATCTTTATATGGTCTTCTGGACTGTTTCCCTAAAGTCTTTAGATTATGTGTCTTTTGTATGACTTTCTTAGAATATGGGTAGAGCATGGGATGTTGCAATCAAATTTACATTGTGACCCTAGCTCTACAATTACTAACTGTGTGTCTGGATACTTAGCTCCAATGCACTGCAGATTTCTAGTGTGTACAGTATAGGGAATCATACTCTTCTATAAGCCTGGCCCAAGGGTTGAATGATCCCTGGCAGAGTGGGAAATTCTCATAACTGGCAATTATTTCTGATATTGCTCATAAAAGTAAGTTAATAAGTTAATCTATCTGAGTCTCAGGCTTCTTATAGTTACATTATAAGTGTAACTATATGTTGCTAATGTTGTCAATCATTATGTTTCATCTACCAATCTGAGTCTATAGAATTTACCTAACAAATGTAGGGTTTTTTTTGGGGGAGGGGGGGATTCAACACAGGGTTTCTCTGTTAAGTCCTTGCTGTCCTAGAACTCACTTTGTAGACCAGGCTGGCCTCAAACTCAGAGATCCGCCTGCCTCTGCTCCTGAGTGCTGGCATTAAAGGCTACATCACGGCCTGGTGCAATTTTAAAGAACCTTTCAGAGCTGCACTGGTAGCAGGCAAACAGCAGTATAGTTTACAGCACAGACGACCTGCGTTCTAATCCTCACTCTGCTGTTTTCTACTTTCGTGACATTGTGACCTTGAAATCGAGAAGTCATGCAACCTTTGTGTATTTCATGTTCTTATCTATAAAATCAAGGTGATACAGTCCTGGTCTGTTAGAATTGCTTTGAGAATTAAACAAACAAACAAACTTTATGAAATGTGCTTCCAAAAGTCCCTAGCACATAACAGTTCTCGGTAATCATTTGTTATCCTTATTCCTGAAAGAAGGTTCCAATCTCAACTTTTAATTTGCACATACATACACACACATAAAGACACACATAGACACACACATATGCACATACACAGATGTACATATACATATATACATACACACACATGAATACATGATTCATGCTTTCACTTATTCATATATGATCACTTCTACCACAGGAGTCTCAGACTGAACAAGAACATATGATGGTATACTAGATATTGAAATTAGCTGAGAAATTAGTTATTAGTTAACCAATTATTACTTAGTAATTATGTTTTGCCATGTGTAAAGTGGATTTTATCTAAAAGAGAAAATTATTTTCCCCTGTTACAGAGCTGAAGAATATTATGTTGAAGATACTCCAATTTATGGTAACTTAGAAAATATAATCCCAGGTAAGTTTTATTTTTCCATAACTGGACATCAACAATTTGAGGTATCCCATTTCTAAAACCATCACAGTTAGGCATTCTAGAAGCCATAAGTCATATATAGTATATTGCATAGGATATGTTTGCAAGGGCCACACTGTAAATTGTGCTTTGATAGTCAGTGCAAGCCAGCAACTCCTGTTTTTCTGTGTGCTTTATTTCACACTGGTAGCAACGATAATACATCACCACTAGAATAGCAACAGAAGGTTCTAGTCCCATGAATTTTAACACACAGAGAATTCTATGAAATGAAGCCACAGAACAGAATACGATCCACAGAAACTGTATCTTGTGATCTGTGTATAGAAGCCTGTGTACAGTTAATGGCCAAAACCATGAACACTTTCTCTGATTTCCTGTGTTATAGCCTGTTCTCTTTAAGTGGAGAACCTGGGGCTGGATGGATAGCAGCTGGGGAGAAAGCAGAACCAAGTCATCACTAAGTGGTTTGTGCTTTTATTCTTCTACAAGTGCTCTTCACTTGAACCTTTTCTCAAAACAAAACACTCTCAAGTGCTCAGAGCAAGCAGCTGTGATCTGATCCCACGGCTGATGAGAGAAGCTGCCACCCTGCTATGGGCCTTCCCTCTGCTCACGAGCAGAGTCTCTGAGTTTATTCTGCTTGCAGATCTCTGTCTCAAATACAAAGGTTTTCTGTGATCTAAAAATACCATGATAGCTGTGTATCCAAACCAATATAGAATTATAAAGCTAGAGATATGGGAATTTTATAATGATTCAAAGATTTAACTGTCTTTCTTTCCATTATGAATATCCTCTAACTTCTACACTGTAACAAGACAGAAATATTATATTAAAATAATGTTCCTTCTGCTTTATGTTACAGAATTATGATCTCATCCTTCATATTTAAGTTCCTATAAATTCTGATGGCCCAGAGCCCATCAGATCTGTACTTTCCAAACCAAAATATACCAGGGGTTTATTTCCAGATGCTGACCTCACATGCTCTGGATTGGATTTAGAAATCAGCTAACAAGGCTGGGCCATGGTGGCACACACCTTTAATCACAGCACTCAGGAGGCAGAGCCAGGAGGACCTCTGTGAGTTCGAGACCAGCCTTGTCTACAGAGCGAGATCCAGGACAGGCACCAAAACTACACAGAGAAACCTTGTCTCGAAAAATAAAAAAGAAATCTGCTAACAAGCAAATACAAGATTCTGATGCTAGTTTCCCATGGACCATGATTTGAGAAACACCACTCTAGGCTGTTTTCCCATGTTGTTTTTTAGATAGGATAGAAAGATTATTAGGTACCTTTTGGTATAATAAATATATCTTCCTCTCTGAGGTCAAATTGATGCATTGTACATTTTGGCTGGGTAACTAGCCACTCTAGTTCGGCTTGTATATGGATGTGTTTGGGAGAATAAAGATACAGAATAGGATGGTTCACTAGCATGAAGAATGTAGTGAGTACAAGTCTGTTGACTTTTAGACACTGCACAAAAGTTCTAGATCCTTCGAATGACATTGAACAATCTTGAGGATCTGAAACAGTCCTGTCTAACTGAGATGCTTCTGATTGGTGGGACACAAATCAGAATCTAAGCCATTTTGTTCAAAATTAGAGTGAGGCACTTTAAATGTTTCTGGATAAAGCATATTATTCATAGAATTAATTACAAAACTGTAATCATTGATGGACTTTGCAAGTGCCATGCTTTATGCTAGGGTGTACCACATGCAGCCACACCCATGTAGTAGATAACATAGGCAACCCTTTAACTTCATTGGATCTCCAGATCATTTTAAACAGTAGTTCAGATGAGACTTCCACATGTTGTTGTGGTACAGAAAATCCTTATGATACAGTCTCCATATTGAGCTTCTTATCATCTGTCAGTAATATTGTGGACAAGAGACTCCTCTGTCTAATCTGCCAGTAACAGTTTGTGCTTTCTTAACTTCTTTGCACGTCCATCTAAAAGACTACTTAAATAATTCTTGAGGCTGTATATTCTTAGCTAAATATTGTTTGGATCACGCATTTTATTTATACCAGCACTTTTCATTTTTTCACGGAAATCTCCATCACCTCTACTCCCAAGAAGCAATGGATGAGGACTGCTATGAGCAAATGAAAGCTCGACCACAAAGGTCTGCAAGTGATATGCAAGAAGCCACCACATCTGGACAGGTGACGTTTTCTGTATGAGTTAAGTCTAGTCTAGTTCAAAGCACCTGGACATGTTTCAAGAGCACAAAGGGTGTTTTCTGATATACATTTGGAGCAGCCTGTTAAAAATTTTGCAGCATGAATCACATGTCAAGCTCTGAGACTTGAGCTCTATAGGGAAATACAGAAGCAAGAGCAAAACTCAAACAATACCAGAAGACTCAAAATTAGGTGTAGTTCAAAGAACAATAGGCCCTGTCTTTGCATACAAGCATATATATATATACATATATATATATAAAATATATATCAACGAATTTGCATAATACTCTGAAAGCATCCAAACGTTCAAGTATTATTCTTTCTTCTCCAAAATCTTTTCTCTTATATCCCCTTACTAGACTAGTCATGGGCAATTGTGACAGCAATTGTGACAGCTTTGCTTCATGTGCCCCATTTGCAGTCTCTGCTTAGAGTCCCATGAAGGAGGCAGCATTAAAATTCCTAGTTTTTAAAACTTGCAAAGAAAGAAAAGCTCGTCCTGGAGCACGCAGATACTGTGTGAGGAAACAGAATCCAAAGGCAGATTCATCTTACATACAATATTCTTGTTCTAAAATAGGTCACAGTTTGAAAATTTTCTATTGTGGTAGAATTTTTCTCCTTTTCACTACAAGACGTTTATAAGAAATCAGACTTCTTAACAATTCTATTAAGAAATCAGGATGTAGTGATATTTGAGAAAAAAGCCACCACATATGCAATCCGACATTTGGTTAATTATAAAACACACTTTTAGGGGCTGGAGAGATGGCTCAGTGCAAGAGCGCTTGTTTTACATAAGACTGGGGTTCAGTTCCTAGAATCCACACTGAACAGCCCACAATCACTGCTGACTCAAGCTGCAGGGTATGACATCCTCTCTGCCCTCTGCAGGCACACACACACACACACACACACACACACAGGGAGAGAGAGGGGAGAGAGAGAGAGAGAGAGAGAGAGAGAGAGAGAGAGAGAGAGAGAGAGAGGGAGGGAGGGAGGGAGGGAGGGAGGGAGGGAGGGAGGGAGGGAGGGAGAGGGAGAGGGAGAGGGAGAGGGAGAGAGGGGATATGCACATATATACACACACATATACACATAAACACAAATCTTTAAAGTGCACTTTTATTTTTTTAAAGTAGGAAAAGCTACATGACATGATATTTCCTGTTAAACTCATGATGATAAAATGAAAGCTCTTGAAGGAGATTAAGGTGTAATTACACCATCTAGAAATGTAGAGACCCACCTACACCGTTTTAGCTGTAACTATGAGAAGAATTATGAATATAATTATGAGTAAACACATGGGAATTGCATGGAGTCATTTCTTTTTTTTCTTTTTTCTTTTTGTTTTTATTTTTTTGACTTAAAAATGTATAGTTTTATTTCTAGTTCCAACTTTCTACAATAATACTACATGATAATACGACACATAAGAAAAACATTTTGTGTTCAATACGTTTCCAGGATTTTTAGTAAATATTGCTTATATTTCATGTGTTAAATATTTAGTATGAGTGCTTTACAGTTTATTTGAATGACAAAGTACTTGCTTCATTTTAAATATGTGAGTAGCACCCCCCCAATTATTGATATATCATTTTATCATATTAGTATAGCTGAATGAGTTCTTTCTTCATCCATAATGTAGTTACAATATTATACTTGTAATAATTGTCCAAAATACAGGATATATTTGCCATTTATCTTGGGAAAGACAAAATTGACATGCAATTCCACAACTAAGAAATTCCTTGAAAGTACTTGATGCCGTCATAGCTATACAATCACTTTAAGAAGTCAAAATATGTTTGTATTTCAGAAGACTAAGAAATTTTGTAAAATAGTTTCTTCTTTGGAATGATGTTTGCATTTACTATGGAAAATTTCTTTTTTTTTCATTTTTCTTTATTAAGAAATTTCCTACTCACTCCACATGCTATCCACAGACCCCCCCTCCCTCCTCCCACTCCCCAGCCCTCTTTCCCAAGCCACCCCGTATCCCCACATCCCCCAAATCGAGGTCTCCCATGGGGAGTCAGCAAAGCCCAGCACACTGAGCCTAGGCAGGTCCAAGGCCCTTCCCACTGCACCAAGGAGGTGCAAGGTGTCACACCACAGGCACCAGATTCCAAAAAGCCTACCCATAGACCAGGGACAGATCCCGATCTCCCTGCCTGGGTGTCCTCCAAACAGTTCGAGCCAAACAACCTTCTTCCATATCCAGAGGGCCTAGTCCAGTCCCATGGGGGCTCCACAGCCACCAGTCCACAGTTCATGGGTTTCCACTAGTGTGGCCGGTCATCTCTGCACATCCTCCCATCATTATCTCAATGTCCCTCGCCTGCAGTACCTCTCCTCTCTCTCATCAGTTGGATTTCCAGAGCTCAGCCTGGTGCCTGGCGGTGGATCTCTGTGTCTGCCTGCATGGAGTCATTTTCTTTGAGAAGCATCTGGCTTTTCCTCAAGTGGAAAAGATGCAAAACCATGTAACATCTTTGAGCCAGCTCTTTTATGAATTATGTAGTTAAAGACACGATTCAGAAAACTAGTCTCTGTTCTACTACGTTCTTATAAATTCAGTTTCACAAATTGCTTATAAATTGTGAAATTGTGCTTATAAAAAAATCTTATAAATTGCTCCTTTTCACCTCATCAGCATAATCATGACCATTTGCTACTCTGATACTCATACACTGATTGGTCACAAAAGCGCAGGGAATCTACAATAACATGTGTAGGCTGAAGGAAGAAAGTGTTTTCTGAGAAACACAGGTCATTTCTTTGCCCTTTGCAAACAATGTGTGTGGTTCAGAGACTGTAATTTGAGTATCTTGGTCTACCATCGAAAAATTAAGTCCTAAGATTTCATCAGAAAATCTAGGAATAAGATTATTCCCCAAGTGCTCCCATAGCCTATAAACTTTAAGGATATACACATGTGCTATTCCTTTTATTTGTTTGTTGACCTTGGGTCAATGTCCTACCTCCTTACTCTGTCAAAAAGCATCCTCTCCCTTCTCAGACCAATACTAATTATGCTCCGTGTCATTTCTCCTGAGTTTCAGGATCTTACAACTTTAATTAATTTTCCTCTATTTTTCTTTTCTTCCTGGAAATGATCATTACCGTTTGCCTAACATGTGTGCAAATGATCTCAATATTAAAACAAAACCAACAGAACAACAGAAACTTCCTTTGCTCTGTTTTTCCCAATAATTTCAGAACTATGTGGAATTAGATGGGTTCTTTCCATCCCCTGTGGCTTCTATTTCTTGCTAGGGACTCACATTTCTTTACCCTTTCCTCTATGAACCCCCAATGCCCTCAACTAAGCCAGCACAGTGGAAATCTCAAGTAAATATTGAATGTACAGCCATGATCCTTTTTGGGACTCAGATTTTTTTTTTTACCCTGACACTGCCTGATAAAACAGAATAGTATTGCCACATATTATTTGGAGTGATTTCCTATAATTGCAGGAACCAAATTCCAACCACTTTGGTATTGAAGGGAGATGTCATGCCTCATATGACAGACAGAGCTAAGAATGTATTTTGCCTTTGAGATGATTGAGTAGTGACGCACTCCTCATTCTCCTCATTCTCCTCATTCTTCTTTCTGTTCTGTTATCAGCAGACACCTCAAGTGATGTTGGACAAGCCACTAAAGGCTTGTGCATTTTATTTTTCGATTCAAGGGAAAAGATGTCTTTTCTATTCTTGATAGTAAATATCAATTTTAAAATGCCATCAAATATGCCCATTCCTGGTGTGATGATATTACACGTGCTGGTGGGTGGAGCCAAGGTGCCCCACAGCAGGTGAGAGACAGAGATGCCATGCAGACAGAAGCTCACTGAAGAGTTTTATTTGGTGGGGGGGAAGAAAGGGGGGGGAAGAAGGAGGGAGGGAGAGAGGTGGGGGTGAGGGGTTCAAGAGGTGTGCATCTTGGGAGGAAATCAGAAGGAGAAGAGAAATGGGTAGAGAACTCTTAAGGAGAAGCCTTAAGAATAGGCTTCCACAGCAAGGCATAGGGTGGCGCCAAAGGGCAGGTTCAGAATATTAACACCTGAGTCATTCATTCTCTTGGGCCCTGTTGCCAGGGTGATGGGAGGCAATGGGTACTTGGTATAGCATAGGTCAGTTGCTTGGTCTTGCTGGCCTTGGGTACAGGACTCCAAGTCTCTAGAACAGGATAGGGCAGAATTTATCAGAGAAGATAGGAGAGTTCAACAAAGTCCCAAAAGACCAACAAATCATCACCCCTCCATGGTTCTAAGTGCACTTCGATAGCTTTTCACCAGTCGGCCTGGGGAAAGTTGAGGCAGACAACAGTACTAAATGCGTGCAGCAGTGAATTGACAAATTTTCTGGGATACAGAGCAGAGTAGGGGAGTACTGAGCATCAAAATAGAAAACCTTAAAGGTCAGGACATGAAATCCAGACTTTAGTCCATAGGCTGTGATTCTTTCTGAAGGACAGATAGTAAAAGACAAGGGTTGTACCTTACAGCGATAATTTGAAAACAGTACAGTGGGATGAATGGTGGAGGGAAAGATGAACGTGTGGACACCAGTTAGACAGCTATTGTACTTTTGTGGAAATGGTTAAGGAATAGCAAGTCTGATAAAGAAACTAAAGAGCTTGTAAATGGAGCCATCTCTTCTGCCTGACATAAAAACACGAGGCATTTTCCTTATACCAATAGGGAGATACTTGCCTAGGTGCGGGGAAATTTTTCATCCAAATGTTACTTCCTCGGCCTCTGGCCCCATGATTTTGGCCTGGTCTTAGAGGTAAATCCTGAACATAGATAGCTACACTATATTCAATGAAAACCCTCCAATTTTAGTTTGAAGCCTGTAATCATCATAATATCATCTGCTTTTAAATTACAGCTTCAGTATGAACATTCTCTATTTACCAATCATATCTGCACTATGAGATCAATATTACTGCTTTCATTTTAAAAGCAAGAATACTGAGACTCAGTACGATTTTCAAGAAGCCACCCAAGCTCAAGCTGCCCAAGATGTACATAACACAACTGAGACTTAATGCTGGAATTTTCCAACTATGCATTCAAGGTCTGGGCTTCAACCTGTTGTTTGCCCCAGGTTACCTTAGTCTTCTCTCCTCACCCTGACATTGACCCAGCTCTAGGACAGAGGGGAAGGGTAACAAATTCCATTCAATCTTAGGTGTCAGTTGTGCGAGGAGATCTGTTTGCTTTATTCTAACGAATCTTTAAAACTGTAAAGTAAGAGGCAGAGGAAGGATTTGTGGGTCCGACTAAATCATCATTTACTAAGCGTATGTAAAGCACACCTTATACTTGTTAGATGCCTCCCTATTGTGTGTTTTCCCTCCTAAACAAACGAAGGTACAGTTACTCGGTAGAAGTGACATAAGGCAGTAACTGCTTGAGGTGAAGGTGAAGATATAAGCAGGTGAGAAACTGTCTAATGTGTTCACGTAAATTTTGAGTATGAGGAGAAAAAAATCCATGAAGCTTCATCTAAATACTTTTCTTTTTCAACTCAAAAGTCTTGAATTAACTATTGATTTGTTGTTGTCTTTAACTGTCAACTTTGGCAAAATAAGGTAACTAAAGCCAGAAAAGAAATTTTTTTCCATAGGCCATGGAAATTTATAAAAGTCTTGGAAATTAAAGAATAGACCAACAATGAAAAACTAACATACCTTTTCTTTTCAGGGACGTGCTGAAGATCAGATGTGCTACGCCACACTGGATCACAGCTTCAAGGGGAAACGCAGAAGGCCCAGGAAACAGAACACTCATTTGTTAGAAAGGGAGAAGGATGCACAAGTGTGTGCAATGGATACCAACATTTCTCAGGTCAATTTGGTAGAAAGTTCCCCACCCGATAACCAGGCAGTCGAGGAAAGTGTTCATGACGACCCTGCAAGACTGTTTGGATTAATCCGTGCCAAGAGAGAGCCTGTAATCTAGCTGGATGATGATCCAGCTCAGTGATAAGCACCCTATCAGAGATGGTTAAGAAAACAAGAGGGCTGGCAGGACGGTCTGCTCATTTGTCGATGGGATGGTAGCTTCCTTTTTCTTCAGAGATTGCGTCTCCACACACTAAATCTAGTGCCATTAAATTTAGCTATATGAATTCAGTTAAAAAATAGCCAAGTAGGAAAAGTAAAATAATAAAATCCAGTTTGCAAATTAAGTTACTTGATAACAAAGCCAAAATGGATAGCAATACCTAGGAAATTTTTTAAAATCTAAAGTAATATGTGCTCTAGGATATATCAATTGAAAGATAAAAGTCAATGTCTTAAAATATTAATCAATTGAACATTTCCTCTTTCATCAATGTGAATAAATAATTAGAAATTTCATATGAAAGTACATTGCCAAGAAAAGTAGAATAATCTTGAGGAGTATTTTTCCAAAATGTAAATAGCATAATTAGTTTAAAATTTGTTATAAAAGTTCCATGTTCCTTAGAACAATAAAAAAGAACTTAGAAATTCTACTGCCAGAGATAATCAGTATGAATAACTTCCTTTTTGTGTTTGTGAATATTTTATGGACATAACCGTGTATATGTATCAGTTGTTCCCTTTCTCTGTTTTAACTTAAAAGTAGAGGATTATGTGTGTTATTTAAATTTTCTTCATGGATCAAGGTACTCTGGCTTTACTTCTACTATATTTAACTACATCAAATGTACTACATTTTGTCTGTGCTACTGCTGGAAGCAAACACAGGATCTTTCATACGAAAGTCAAGCGCTTGATGGCTGTGCTTCATCCCAAGTTCTGTCTCATAATTTAAAAGTCTGCGTTGTATCTCATTTATGATTCAATCAGAATTCATTCCATTAATATTGAAGACTACTTAAATTAATTCAACTTTCTATTTATCTGTTCACAAATAATATTCTAATGAGAATGTTCCAACACATGTCTGGATATTTATCTAGTTTCTTTTTTTGTGTTAAGTCCCCTAAAGGAAATTAAATGTATTTAAAGATATGTGTTCATATCATTCATCTCCATAGGGCAGATCTCTAGAAGGTCAGAAATTGGGTCAAAAATATGCATACAGTTTAAATTCTGGAGGATTAGCCCACATCTGTCTCCCAACCAGTTAACTCAATAAACCTCAGCATGGGGTGGAGGTACTTAGCTGTGATCCCAGCACGCAGGAAGCTGAGGCAGGAAGAGCCCATTAGTTCCAGGCCATCTGGTTCTGAATAGTGAGTTTCTGGTCAGCTTGGGTTAAGAGGGAAACCACGTTTCAACAAAACAAAACAAAAACCAAAAAAAACCAAAAACCTATCAAAAACAGAATAGCTTCTATTGTCTTCCACTGAGAAAAAAGGCTTGTTGGTAGTTTATAATTAACATATTTAACTCGTTATAATATGCATTTTAAAAGGCTACTTTGGCTGAGAAGCTTGGGCACAACATACCTCCTTTTTTTTCTGGCTATGTGCTATGGATTTTACATACATCACATTTTTATAGTGTTTTTAAATTTTATTAAGTTTAAATGTAGTTATATAATTTGCCATTTCCCCTTTCTTCTTCCAAAACTTCCCTGTGTATCCTTTCTTGCTTTCTGTCAGTGACCTCTTTTTTTTTAATTGTTGTTACATATATGTATGTGTATAATTGGAAAGCTCTACCCGTAGAAGACCATTTCTCCTACTCTGAACATTCTCCAGTTGCCCATAGTCCTTTGTCTAGAGTTGAGAAACTGCAAGCTTTTGGCCCTCTCCATGTTGGCACGTCCATTGGCATCACCATTGTTCAGATCTTGTCAAGTCACTCATATTGATGACACTTCATGGGTGTAGGCTTTCTGATGTCATATGTTTTTATTTAAATTACCATTTAAGCCGGGCGGTGGTGGCGCACGCCTTTAATCCCAGCACTCGGGAGGCAGAGCCAGGCGGATCTCTGTGAGTTCGAGGCCAGCCTGGGCTACCAAGTGAGTTCCAGGAAAGGCGCAAAGCTACACAGAGAAACCCTGTCTCAAAAAACCAAAAAAAAAAAAAAAAAAAGAAAAAAAATTACCATTTAAAATATTAAAATAATAAAAGGTACCTTCATAATTTTCCATGCAATTGGAATGTCTAATTTCCTTTAAGGGACTTAACACAAAGAAGAAATTTTCCATAAAATTGTAATCTCAATTTGTATGCATGCAGGATTCTGTCTGCTACCCTATACTTTAGCTTAAAGGATTTCTTTAAGTATTTTTGCAGTCCAGATCAATGAGTAATAAAACTCCCTTCGTTAGAATTCCTAGCCACTCTCCCAAGACCATGCAAGTGCTGGCAAGATGCTTAGTCATCCTAAGGCCTTACATCCTACATAATCCGTGAGCTGCATGATCGCATAATCTATGCGCATGAGTGGCATAGCTATGTTAGCCCATATGCGCATGTGCGGGGGAACATACGTGTGGGTCCCACTCATTCCCCCAACCTTTCTTCCTGCACGATCTTTCCATAGGCCTAAGCACCCCCTTCTGTTCCCTCCATTTAATAAACTCTTATAGTGGGTTTTGTTGTACCTTGTGGCTTTTCTCGCACAGTAAGCAACACCACTTAATAAATAACACCCTTGTCATGCTGTGCATCTGAAAAAGCCATTGTTTAAATTTTTAGAGACATTGTCACGGGTTGAAAAATTCCCATGGTTGAGCTAACTATGCTTCTCTGAACAATCTGTACTGTTCCATTTTTGAACAAGTAGATGCCATCCAAAACCTTCCTGGTACCCTTTGGTTTGAACTGTGTGGCTTGCTGAATCAAAGCTGCTGGATTTGAAACAAGTTGAATATCATTTTCTTCAAAGATTAAGTCATCCTTCTAGATTTGAGAAGCAGAACAAGCAGCCCCTGTCTCCATCTGAACACTGTGGATGTATTTTTCACCCAGTCAATTTTGAATTTCAACCAGAGGTTCATTCTCCTGAATAACAGCATTGATGGTGAAGTGTGTACTCACAGATCTCATCTTGTAGTGGAAGCCTGTTGTAACGCTCTGGATCATGTTGTGAACATGTCTACAGATAGTCTGAGCAGTGGCCAGTTCCGTTCTGCTTGCCTACCATTTGTCAACCTGGGGCCTCTTTTTCTTTTCAAGGAGACTTAGCTCTACACTGATGTGATTAGAGACATACCTGTGTGCCCCCTCAGAGTAGTGTCAACATTTTCTGGAACATTGACAGTTTAATTGTTAAGAATAGTCTTCATGGGCTGGAGAGATGGCCCAGAGGTTAAGGGCACTGACTGCTCTTCCAGAGATCCCTAGTTTAATTCCCAGCAACCACATGATGGCTCACAACCATCTATAATGAGATCTGGTGCCCTCTTCTGGTGTGCAGACATATATACAAACAGAACACTGTAAACATAATAAATAAATAAATCTTAAAAAAAAAAAAGAATGGTCTTTATTCTCATAGTAGATGTGGCAAAAAAAAGAGCTTTCTGATTCTTTAAAAGATAGTATTTTTATTGGGTAAAAGATACTGTGAATTGTACTTTATTTAATGATGGCTGTTTTAAAACTAGTTTGAACATTTCTTGTAAAGTCAAGTTATTTGAAGTTATTTGGATGTAATTTGATCCTTTATTTTTCTATTAATTTTTTGGGGGTTTTCTATTAATTTTTTAGTTACCATATAAAGTAATGAGTTTTACTGTGTGTGTGTGTGTGTGTGTGTGTGTGTGTGTGTGTGTGTGTGTGTGATTGTGCTTTGCTCTAATTTAATCCCTTCCCCTACTACCCTACTCTACATCACCCATCCACTGTGCTTTCATTCTCTTCCTTCCCCCAGGTAGTTCCCTTTTCTGTTTACATAGCACATGTGTGCCATACCATCTTTCCCCCTGACTTCCTCAGGAATCCTTCCTTCTCTCTCATGATTCCCTTCATTGACCGTCATACACACACACACACACACACACACACACACACACACACACACAGAAAGAGAGAGAGAGAGAGAGAGAGAGAGAGAGAGAGAGAGAGAGAGAGAGAGAGAGGTGCATATATAATGATAAATCTAGAGTCTGCATAATAGAGAAAGCATGCAGCATTTTTCTGAGTCTGGCTTATCTTGCAAGAATATAATGATGCTTGCAAAGGTCATGATTTCATTTTCCTTTCTGACATAAAACTCCATTTGTATATGTACCACATTTTTGCTGTCTGTTCATCTGTGGATGCACAAGTAGGCTGGTTCCGTTTCCTGTCTACTGTGAATGATCCAGCATTAAGCATGGATGCACAAGTGTCTCTATGGTATGCTGATGTAGCATCCTTTGGGAATATCCTCTAGAGAGAAATAGCTGTCTCATATGCTAGTTCCAATTTTAATTTTTTTATAACAGCTATACTGATTTCCTCAATGGCTACACAAGTTTACAGGCCTACCAGAGAGAGTATCGTCTCTAAGTATTTGATGTCATTTGTTTTCTTGATGATAGCCACTGCAATCAGAGTGAAATGGATTCTCAAAGCAGTTTGCATTTGCATTTTCCTCACAGGTAAGGTGAATATTTATTGGCCGTTTGTATTTCTTTTGAGGACTGTCTATTCAGTTCACTACTCCATTTGTGAACTAGATGTTTTCAGTTTTCTTACTTAACTTGTTTGCAGTTCTTCGTATATCCTGTATATTAATTTCTTCTCTGATATGTAGTTGGCAAAGGCCATTTCTTACCCTCTTCACATAGAAGATTATTTCCTTTACCATGCAGAAACTTTTAAAAAACTTTTTATTTATTTAATTTTTTTCATTTTACATACCAACTACAGTTCCCCCTCCTATCCTTCCTCCCACTCATTCTCCCTCATCAACCCCCCATCCACTCCTCCAAAAGGGTAAGGGCTCCCATGGGAAGTAAACAAAGTCTGGTACATTCAGTTGAGGCAGGACCAAGCCCCTCCCCCCTGCATCAAGGCTGAACAAGACATCCCACCATAGGGAATGGGCTCCAAAAGGCCAGCTCATGCACCATCCTGACCCTACCCATGCAGAAACTTTTAACATCATCTCCTCATATCACTTAATTCTTATTCCCTGGGCTATTGAATCCATTTCTAGAGTGCTCGCCTATGCCTGTATCTGTAGGTGTTTTGTTTGTTTTGAAGTTTCAGGTCTAAAATTAAGTTCTTTGATCCACTTTGAATTTATTGTCATATAGTGTGAGAGATAGAGATCTGTGTGTGTAAATTCAGTTTTCCCAGTTAAAGAGACTTTCTTTCTTCAATGTTATACCTTTAATCTTTGTCCAAAATGATGTGGCTATAACTGTAAGGTTTTATTTCTGAGTCCTCTATTCTGTCCTATCATCTATATGTCTGCTTTTGTGACAGGACCATACTGTTTTATTACTATGGTTCTGTAATATGCTCTGAGATCAGGTATTGTGATATCTGTATTGCTCTTTCTGCTAAGGCTGTCCTTGCCTATTTGGGTTTTGCACTTCCACATGTATATCAGGTTTTTT